GCGATCCGGAAAGACATTCATTAAGGCTACCGACAATGATGTATTTCAGTAACGTAATGTCGCTTGTGGAGCATTTGTTGAGGAATGCTAGGTTTCCAGATCGAACGCTGACCTGAAGGACAAATTCGCTTGGTGAACGGTTAACTGACGAAACAGACTTAGTGGAAATAGCGCTTTATCAAATATTACAGTATACGACGCTTCGTAATGAATTTAGGTAAACAGGAATATTTTGCGAATTGCTCTATAAAGCCAGAGGGTTATGTCCAATTTGCGAGAGTTCTTTAAATTTTAATTACTTCCCGTTCTCTCCGCTCAGTTAATTTATGGATGAAGGCCAGTCAGTCAGTGTCTCCAACGTTTCCAATTCTGTGCCAGTGTTTGAGCTTCGGCAGAAGATAACCTGATTCTGGAGCATAGACTTCGACAAACTTGACCCATGCCAATCTTGGCAGTTTCCGGCCGGTTGGTTGGGCAAGAAATAGTTGCCTCATTTCCTCTCTGGAGGCATTCGTAATCGCAGCTGTGATTTTTTAATCCACAGAAGCAGCAGCTGTACAGCAAGGCTCTCACGGATATCTGAACCCCAAACCGATGAGGGCATTAAAAGGCAACCAATAGTAAAAAACTTTTGTCTTGTGGTAGCTTCGCCGCCTCACCGGGAGTTTCATTACGGTAAAAAGTTTTAGCCGTTTTGATTGTGATGACACAGTAGCCAACAAATCGGGCTCTGATCCCGAAAATGACGAAGGTGCTAAATTCCTCAGCAAGGAATTTTTTGCCCTAAGCTACTTTCGTACAGCCAACCGAGAAACGGACAGCAAGCGATGTATTTACGGACTACAAGGCAATGTGGTGTTCTGGCATAGTCATGTATGAATGTGCGAGAGGTACGGAGGTATTTGATGAGAGTGCCTCATTGGAACCTGACAGCTGTTTATGCTGTGTTAATGAGCAGATGTTGCAATCCTTATTATTGTGGGTGTCCTCAACTACGAAAACTACTGCTGTTCCAACAAACACCCCAGAATAGAAATTGCCAAATATTTAATCTTGAAGCAAAATGAAACAAAATATAACTCTGATGTTCTAAGGTAGCTTCCAAGAGACTGAGCTTTCAATACTGCCGGCAAAAGTCACATTTCAAATACCTTGTAAAGTAAGAAGATGTTTCCTTTACTTTACACCGACAGAGCTGTATAAGCCTTTACACCGGGTTGTGAATCCATATTGCGCTTCCTTGAGGGGCTATATAAGCAGGTCATGTCTCCACTATAGTTTTTAATGCGAATAATTCTACTGGCATACGGAGCTTCCTTACCTCCAGATACGTTATTGATTTAGATTTAAAAACTGGTAAAAGTGACAACTTCTGTCATAAATATGGCAAAAAGCCCTGGAGAAGACCTCTGTCGAACATGTCCATAGCCTCTACGTAGAGAACAGATGCTACAGTGAGAAAGCGCTTCAGGCCTGCTTGACAAAAAGCGCAAACCTTTCGTCAAATCCCTTTCCGAGGGACAATGAAGCATCATACCTGGAAGAAAATCCCGCATCATCAGTCGCATCGCTGATGGGCCATTCCTGCCTGATGATCAACTGTGTCTTATGATATAAACAAAGACACCCATGAAATTTTGGCTTCATTAGTAAAAGCTGATTTTTGATACCGCCAGTCAACACTGCAAAGACGTGTCGTTGCCGGGCCACGGCTGCATGACGTTGCAGCACAGGCAACGTATCAATGCAAATATACATCAGTTTGTTGTTTGGCCGAACAGATGGTCCTGTAAGCACCCACAGAACGAAGAAAGCGGGTGGTGTGTACAAAGAAGTACAGGTATATGTTGTACCAATTGGAGGGATCAAGAACTATATTCTATTGTTATAGTTAGATTGAGACGAATAGTCGGTTGACGGCTTGATTCCTGGTAGACTGTCGTTGAGCAGACGCAGCAAAAGGTAGTTTTCACCACTGACGACTTTCCTTCGTGTGGTCTTCTCTATTTCGATATCAAAATGCGGATGAACTGAGGACCTACAGAGGAGATGCGCTGTTCGATTCTAGGTGAACGAAGTGAACGTCGCATTACCTCATGCTGCCAAGTAGGTTAGCAATACTAAATCCTAGAATGTGAGATGCATTGCACGGTTGATGCTGGTTTTGATCCCTGGCGTCCGAACAAGATGGACGAATTCATTATGTGATTTTAATGTAGATTCAATTTTGTATCAATTTTGTAACAACTCTATGTGGATATCGGTAGAAGAGCAATTTCTTTATTTCACCGAGTGATACTTATAATGCTGAGAAGATGTTTATTGTTGGTTTCGAAACGAAACTGACAAATCTCCATTTCATACCTATGAAATGTTTGAACAGGTAAGGGAAAGCGATGTACTTTTTGCAAGCTTTTCTATTCAAACATATATCATGTACTGATTATAACTTATTTATTAAAATCTTATCTTCCCGTAGTCATTCTTTATTGATTATAATTCGTAATAAAAAGTTAAAAGACGGAGAAGTAAGTATGAGCGAGTCACTGCACGAGTTGAAAGAAGTTCAAATGGCAATGGGCGGGACACGTTGAAAAGTGAACTGACCATCGCTGGACCAGAGACAATACGCTGGGTTGCAAGAAAGAGCAAACGGCCTGTAGGAACACCTAACATCAATGGCAAGATTAGCTGAAGAAGTCCGTTGCATCAAGACGAATAAGAATCGCAAAGTTTTCGAGAGGCTTTCATCCAGCAATGAATCGAAAAAGGCTGGTGATGATTGTATAAAATATTAATAGTCGATTTGCACAGGTCAAATGTAGAAAGCCATTTAAGCAGGCCACTACGGTATACTGATGTATCTGGCACGAGTTTACTGGTTGCAGGAGCCACGCCGTTTCAAAGTACATCACTTTAGACCCCAGTCGTTCTTGTGCTCTAATCAGAACGCTTGAGCTCAGTTCGAACAGCTGGAAGAAATATTTCTGCTCTCAGTTTCCTGGTTAAAATTAGAGCTGGCCCGTTTGATAATCATGGTTTCTAAGCCAGTTTTGTATACGTCAAATATAGATTACCACATCACGAACCACCAATTACGAAATACGGTTAAAATAGAATAAAATAAAATCAAAACATCTCTTGCATAAGCTGTACATGTGCTGGTCATCGATGCTGCCAGACGAACGGGCGATGAACGGAGTCAAGTAATTATGAGGAAACAGATTTGTCTCATTCGCGATACTCGTACAAACACTTGTTCAGCCGAACTCAGAGACCCGCTGTTTGTATTCGATGCACTGCAGACGCTTATACAGCATGGAGCGGTGACCTGGCCAAATGGTGTTCTGGATGATACGACTAGCTGGCAAGGAGCGGTGCGTTTCTGTCGTGTAAATCCAGTATGACTAATGGAAAGTCATATTCATGAGCAGAATTGGAAAGCTGCTATTCGTGGTAACTACTTCAGAACATTGGGATTAAATTTTATCTTATTCTGCGTAGAAAATAATATCCCTGCGATATTCGGATAAGATTTGCGAAATCGAGTGCCAAATCTGTACAGTCGGGTTGTCATGCATCTGAATCAAGAATCTAAGTGCCAAAGTGAACGAAAATGCACAAACCTGTATTCCATGACATGCCGTGTATTCCATACAGAACGGAGAACCGAGTTATTTGGTAAATCACGAGTGACTACGAAGCCAAACTGGCATAAATACGAGATGCTCTGCATCGGATCACGGGAACAGCTACCTCATCAGTGATTTTGGGCGTTCATCGATTGGGTGGACTCCATATACTGAATTTAACGTCCGTCAATGACTAAGGATCCGATCATCCGATCCAACGGATTTCACTGACGGTCAAACGTTCAATCAGATATGTTACAGTGCTTCTAAGCTTCTATTCATTCTAAATAGAGAGAACTAGAAATCTGTATGTACTGCAAGATGTTATTAAAAGATTGCATTTGCATATATTAGACTATTTAACCAACCGGAAGTCGATTTTGCCCGGCAAGTAGCATGCAAGTCTAAAGCTCTGAGGCTATCATGCAGAGAAGTTCCTACAATTCGCGAAGTTCTTCATAATAACTGACGTCGGCAGACGGTTGAGTTCAGATGGCTAATTTCCACGGTGGTCACATCGGGAAAAAACAAAATATTTTATCCGACGTGTCGTTGCTGTGGGCGGGCCACCGAAGTCGACACGCACGCCTCCGATGGCCTAACCTCTTTTTTCACGTTTTTTCGCCAGTCCATTCGGGACTCGAACCTTCACCGATGCAGAGCAGCGATTTCTGCGAAGCGAGGCGTGAGTGACGCTTTGGTCACGAACAAGTATCGATGAGGGGGTGACGATCCTAAAC